TTGATATTATAAAAAAAAGGTAGAGAGGTCTGCGAAAAGATTCCATATTATAGTATAGTGTCATGGTAGATTTTTCAGACTAAATAATTTTATTTTTGGTTTCAGTTACCCCATGACCACGGCCAGCGCAACGTGGTCTAACTATAGCACGGGGTAATAATTAGGTGTGTAAATACGCCTTTCTTATCCCCTTTCTGCAATTTTAGTATAATGCAACGACAAAATGTCTCAAATGTATATACAAAAACTAACATTATTTTTTCCTTACTATAATATAATATACGAGTATTATGACTTACCCAGGTCACATTAAGTCAACCCCAAGCCAATTACGTAACGAACGTTGTCACTTGTGTTACCTAGTTACTGACACACTGACCGCTTGAATAAATTATTGACCTATTTTCAAACACGCTTAACGCTAGGTTGCCCTGTTGTAGTCTATTCATTTAGATTTTAAAATATGTCCTAGCAAATTGCTGAAACAGTGCTACATGTAAACCAGTCTGAATTCCAGAGCCTCAACGAGGACGACCCCCTCGCTGACACGCTTCGCAGACGGCGGCCGGGGAGGCGAAGGAGGCAGTACCTTTTTCCCCCGCCGTAAATTGGGGCATCTCTTACCACCAAGCTTGAGGGCGCCCTTATGTCTCTATCTATTTTACCTCCAAAAGCCGGCGGGCCATCCGCCGACACGTCTCTGGGGCGCCTCTCTATGGCGGTGGAGTTAACTGCTGGGGTTTAGTGGGTATACGGACTACCTACTGGTAGTCCCACATAACCTCTCACAGCTCCTCCGAGCCAAGTGGTATGTGTAACGCACTTCTCAGCGATAGAAACGGCCCCTGATCGCTAAATTCATCTCGATACCTCCAATGAACACTACGCCTTTGTGTACTACCGACTTTATTTTCAAGTAAAATAGTGTCATGATAGTCATGACAAATGACTATGAATCATAGTCATGGTCATTTTCTGTTATTTTTGTAAACAGCGATATTTATTTACTAATATTATGCCCCACGAATTTTGTGAAAAAAAATAAAGACAAAAAAACAAAATTCGAAATAATCTCAGTACAGAGTACTAAAAAAACCGACCTCAAAAGTGAAAATGAATGAAAAAATGAAAAAGTTTATTTCTTTTTTCTTAGTTGTCTTAAAATAAGGTTGTGGTACGTGGAATTACATCTATTTGCCAAGTTTTATTGAAATATCCCCTTTTTTTATTCGCCACTATACAGGACTTGACACAGGAGATAATAAAAATCGGTTCTCACTACTCAAAGTACATATATTGAGAGAAAAACGCCTTGAATTGAACAATAGCAAAACCAACCATTAAAATAATTGCTCCTTAAGTAAAATTTAGGCGCCATTTCTAAAAATGATTCAAAATGATTGAAAATGTTCATGCGTGATCAGCCACCCTTAGAGGTGGATGACTTTCTTCAAAATGAAATGGGACCACTATGTAGGTACCCTCTTTCCAACATAAAAAGAATCATGAAAATCGGTTCACAAATACCGGAGTTATCGCGTAACATACATACAAAAAAAACATACAGTCGAATTGAGAACCTCCTCCCTTTTTTAAAGTCGGTTAAAAAACAAAAAAATAAATTTGCGGAAAAAAGAAACAAGAAAGAAAATAAAAACAGGACAGGTCCAAACATTAAGTCTCTATGGTTAGGATAGGGATCGATCCGTTTGTGTATACAAATTACTTAAACGTACTTATACCAATCACATTGAAATTAATGACATTTATAAGGGATTCCGCACACAGAATACTGTCAGGCGTTCAAAGGTACCGCATTAACGTTCTGCGCACTACGTAAAGTTTACTTTTGAATACTGATGGCATTATAATGGCATTAGGGCATTATAATCGTATCAATCAACGTATGGATTTCTGCACAATGTAATGTGTACCGTACCGCCATTTTTCGCAGAATCTTTGAAGTCGAAAAATTAACTAAGGATTTTAGGGTCGTATTCTAGAACTCTACTCAAGCTCAAGTCAGGACTTGAGTATGATTCAAAGCACTAGAAATCATACTCAAGTCTGCTCAAATCCTGACTTGAGCATTGAGTAGAGTTCTGGAATATGACCCTTAGAGTCAATATATCCAATGGTCTTCGGAATAAATAAAAGAACAATATATTAATGTACTAGACAACCACACACATTATCTGGTACACTAATAAATGCCCTGGTTTACAGGAACAGGGCAACGAAATGTACTCCGGATTGCTATCCAGAAGTTGGTTTCCAAATAGGTTCAGCCCAATCCAGACCTGGACTCGTCGTCTAGCGTCCACAGGACTAGCCGCTGGGTATATTGAAATTAACGTGACTGTCGTTCTTGCAGTTCGTGTTCTGGACGGGAGTGTCCCCCGCAAATTATTAAATTCGCTCCTTGGTTCATAAAGACCATGTTTACAATAATTTCGAAATCGTAAGTCTAAATTGCTATTTGAACATTACAACATATTGACTCAAAAAGTGTATTTTTTTAGAATCGATTAAAAACAAATTACTAAGTTCAGATGAAAGATTACAATTTATGTATAGGCTAAAGTTCAGCGTAGACATCGAAACAATTTCCTACTTGCCAAATATATTTTTAAAAAAGGGAAAAAATAACTTCATATTTTTGAGAAAGTTCAGTGATGTCCACAAAATGTTTGTCTCATTTTGAATTAAGTAGATATCTTTTAATTGTTTCTTACAATATTCTAAAAACAGTTTTATTGACTTGTAAACATCCAAATTTTACCATCAGCAGTATATAATATAATCTTGAATTACACAAATTTTATTACAAGTTACAACATTATTGTAATAGCAGTGCGATATGTTGTCTACTTCCATTCTTCATACATCATCGCTAACCATGTCGTTGTGAAGTTCATATTGCATCGAACACAGTTCATCAATCTTTACCTTTGTCTTCCTCCCTTACATTTCACGTTCGTATTGAATAAAATACCTTTTGAGTGAATTCACTTCTTTTGATTCATCGTCAAGTATGCTGACAATAGTCCATATAACCTTAGCCACCACTAATGTGACTCCTATCCCAGCAAGTATCCTGCCATGATTTCCCCATGATTAACACCAACTTAAATGTTGCGCTAAATCTACAAAATACCTATGGGTAATCCAGCCAAGGACTTGTAGCGTGCGACCTGTCTGACCCAGATCGCTTGCATTGCATGCAAAAGCTATAAATACAACGACTTTATTAATGTTCATTTCGAATTATTCGAATTCTTTAATTACGATAGGCAATAGCGAAATTTATGTTAGCTTTTCGATAATTATTTGATCTGTTGTATTTGGTAATTTAGAATGTATGATAGTTAAGTATTACAAGGTTAATGCCTTAGCCTTTTTATGTTTGTCTTAACAGACAATTAATATAAACAGCACATTAGTAACCCACCCACACAACTCGGTGTTTAGTCTACACGGTTAAAGATTTTTTTTTGACAATTGTCGTTATTTTTCTGTGGTCGAGAGTCGATTGAAGAAATACTGCTATCTAATATTGAAAAGTAATGTCTACATATTAACTAAAATTACAGACAACTCACGTATTTAAGTCAAATTTTTGCTCGACATGTTTCGTACCAATTCGTGGTCCTTAATCATGAGATTCCGCGGCGTTTTGGTGAGCAGTTTCCGTGGAGTCACCGAACTAACCACCAAACATGTCGAACGAAAATTCGATTCAAATGCGTGAGTTGTCCCTTATTTTAGTTAACACGTCTGAGAGTCGTATTCTAGAACTCTACTCAATGCTCAAGTCAGGATTACACTGGAAACACAAGCACTGGAAATACGACCCTAATGGCAGGAACTTGAAAATGATTTCGAACCATAAACCATACTCAAATCCTGACTTGAGCATTGAGTAGAGTTCTGGAATACGACTCTGAGTGTCTCACGGTGGTTTTCTATTTAAAATATCTACTTTTTGAAACTAGGCTTCACGAAAGGGGAATATGTGCTTTTATTTAGTTATATTATCGGTCACTTGGTGGCGCCCTTCTCAAAGGAGAATATATCATTGGTACGCTGTGTACTTTCTGTTTTAACAAAGAAGTCTAGTTAAACCATAATTTCCCAAAGTGGTACCTACCGCCTAGGGGGCGCTAGGGACCTCAGAAGCAATTGGGGGGCGTTGATGTTGACAAGGGGGTGCCACCGCATTTGAAAAAAATACCTGAATTATCTATATAAACATTATATAATTTTTTTCCGTGTGAAACTTTGTGTTACGTTAATATATTTAATTGATATTGAATTATTTTTTATGTGAAATTACTCCACAAGTTTGTTACAATTATAATACAAAGATCAAACACTTAGAAAAAGTTCCTTCGATCCGGCCGGATTCGAACTTCTAGCAAACCGTGGCAGACGCTATACCTGCTAAGCCACGGAACGAACCAGCGGACCTCATGAATTTTTCTGTGCTTTGTTGTCGTATCTTTGTATTAGATTTTTCAACGACTTTTTAGCCGTAACGCCATCTATGAGAAATCTATGAAACTATTTCGTCACCCAGTTAGATACCTTTACAGTTACCAGCCCTGGCTAGAGATGTCGCTATTCACTGTATTTATTTATTAAATACGTGTTTTCTACTTTTACTTTTTTGTGGTGTTGGGAGTAGAAGTTTTTATATCTTGCCTAAGTGGGGGTGAGTCAAAAAGTTTGGGACCCCATGAGTTAAATTAAACGAAATCTCGTTTATTATTATTACAATTCCAAATTCTAATACACTGACGGTCACTACAGCCTATTTCATTCATAACCAAAAAGCACAATATCGCAAACTCGTCTTCAAGAGATACCTACCTGTACGTCATCTTTTAAGTCATGGTCATGCTCTGTTCGCTGTGCATCTGTCGATATCGACGATAATTTGATTAACTAGTGACAAAGATACCTAATCTAAAGTTTAAGTATTTAACATCTATGCTTACCTCAATGACCTGTCTAAGGTCTTCCACATACACGTTTTCAGTTTGCACTATCTCTGCACACACTCGTTCTAGTTGCGACAGCCCGGACATCTCGTCCATTGTTTGATGACCTGTCAATATGTTTTGGATGTTAGTGTTAAGTATTCGTTGGTAACCTCTACGATACTAAGGAAAGAACGCCACAATATGTCTTTTCTTCCTAACACTGTAAGTAGTAATGTTTACGAGAATAACCTTATATGAGATTCTACTTCGTATCTAAATTCACTGCTTTATTCGCGCTGAAGTGCGGCATAAATGTAAAGTAACTTGTATAATAACGAAGAACTCCAACATTTTATTTTCGAATCTAAAATCGTATCTTAGCAGTCATAAGATTTTTTTTAATAATTGCCAATTTTTTCTCATGCAGACATTGAAGACGTATTGCTATCTATTATTGAAAAGTAATGTACATGTAGAAAACTAAGCTTTGGTTGTTGTTGTAGTTCGTCTTCAGTTTGTTTAAAAAACAAATATACATGCTATTTTAAATCCGACAAAATAGTTTCTCCATCAAAAACAATGAAAACCTGTTAGAAGTGTACATTATTTTAAATATTGTAGTAGATCTCGTGGCAAAGCTGCTAATTTGATATATGAAATATTACTAAGCCTAGTAATAAAATAAACTCACGTGGACTTTCCGAGCGTCGTTCGGCAGAAACATTGTTCGATATACCAGCATTGTTAACAAAATTGTTACTCCCATTTGCCGACGTCAAGTCTGCATCACTGTGATCATCCAAACTCTCGATCGAAGCCAAATAAGCAGAATTCACTCCTTTGTTTTGAACACCACTACTAGAAGTCGAACTTGAGGATGCGATCGAACTCATAGAAAGAGGTCTTGATACTTCAACTGGAGGATTCAATCTTATAACCTCCTTTTCTGAAGATTTCAGATTCCCTGTCGACCCTACTACTTCGGGATATGGTTCAGTTTTCGATAATTGTTTTGATGGAGACTCAAAATCTTTTCTGTGCAAGCTATTTGTACCACCATTAATAATCTTAGGTATTTTGGCAGGAATTTGTGATTTAACTTCCATTTTTACGGGCGAATTGTCTTTGGAAGACAATTTTATATCAAACTCTCTATCATTGGATGTGATTGACAATTCGATTGACTGATCTATGTATGGTAAAGATAGAGATTCAAAAGCAGTTTTGTTGGCATTAGGTACGTCGTATACCAACGGCTTATTGTTTGTTGGGACATCGTAAGTTTGTACTTCATCGATTTTGAAATCTAGTTTTATTGGAGCTACCTTTTTGGGAGATTCCTTTTCTTCAGTTTTAATCTTGCCAAAACTTTTCAAGCTGCATGGTTGATCATAGATTTCCATTGATGGTAAAATCTGGACACCTGACTGGGAGATTTTTGACGTAGCTCCAACTAATGGGATGTTAGACTTATGTCTCATGGAAGATCTTCCAGTGCTAACAGTCTTCTTCTGGAATTTTACTGTCGTTGTCTCTGTTGCACCTGATATCATCCGTTTAACATTTGGAGATAGATTTCCGAACGCAGTTTCGTTCTTAACATCTCTAAACGTCCTGAGTTTTTGCACTGACGCACTGTTCTGATCACTGGTAAGATCGCATTTGTTACCAACGTTTTGATTACTTTTGAAATTCAATGAATATAAAGCACTTGTATTTGCCAATTTGATATTAGTTACACTTGTCCCAGAATTATCCAAAAGTTTCATAGTGTCGGTATTTGTTTCATTTGTGATATCATTGACCGCGTTATCATTTGCTTTTTCCTTCATGTTTAAGTTGCTGTTGGGTACAGGTGGATCGTTTCGAGCATCTTTTGCTGTCTCCAATGGATCGGGTTCGGGTCTTAAGCTTTTCGGCTCCAATAACGAATCGTATATACCGATGAGCGTTGGTGTAAGATCTGTTGTACTACCTGAAACAAAAAAATCTGAGTTTTAACAGGGATAGTGACACATACATTGGTTGGTCATACATTGGCTTCATAAACATTAGTTTGCAATTGTATAGACTTTGTTGTACAAACGATACGTTTAGCATGTCAATTATACTTGGGCACGTCGTGTTCAACTCGAATGCTTATCACTTTAGCCACGTGTATCAACAACTTTGTACGATAAGTAAAATCAATCCGTTTCTTAAAATGGCAATTGCGGTGTCGGCAGTAAAAAATTCGTTTGTACAGGGCGATAATTTCAAACGTTTTCAAAACATAATCTTATAAACACGTTGACTCGCCGTAACATAACAAACAGTAATTATGGTAGATACTAATAAAAACAATTTCCAACATAAAGAGTAAAGTTCAAAAAACGGATAGCATTTAAACAATTCTTCAAACTCTAATGACATGGACTCTAACCGCAAGTAATAAAAACAAATGTTTGTCGACAGACGTGTTTAATTTATCTGTAGACAATTCAATTAGACGCTAAATTGTTTTTTAATGGTTGTCGCATTCTTGTGGGTTTTATTTTGTTCTTAAAAAGTATTCCTGTTGCTCAACCAAATGGGAGACACAACGACAGGCCATGATGCTTATTCTTACAGAGGTGTCAACAATTTGAGTGGGGACCAAATTTCATCCATTTCATATTGTTTTTTTAATTCTTCTTTTAACGTAAATAAAATTAAGAAAGTAGTTTTTGCTTTTGATATGAATGGAAATGCGAATGTTGAGATGGATGTGTGGAGTCACGAGAAAGGATAAGATAAGGAATGAGTACATCAGGGGAAGTTTGAAAGTGACGCCAGAGACGGTAAAGATGAGGAGTAACAGGTTAATATGGTATGGACATGTCTTGCGGAGGGAAGAATGTCATGTTCAAGGGGAGCAAAAGGCCAAAGACAAAGATGGATGGAATGTGTGAAAGTTGACATGGATAAGAAAGGTGTGAGTATGGAAATGACGGCTAATAAGGAAGAGTGGAAGAAAAATACATGTTGTGCCTTTTCTAGCGTGGGACACGGACAGGAAGAAGAAGAGATAATCCTTCGAAAGCCGTCGTTATGGGGTGTAATTTAATTACCCCGCAAATATGATTATTTTATTGAACTATATTTTTTTTTACCTCTTTGTGACACAACAATAACTTAGTATTATAATGAAATAAATAATACATAAATTTGCATATCGACTTTGGCAAAGAATAAGGATTGTTTTACTGTATGTACCACCCTTTGTAAACCATATTTTAAGCAAACAGATATTATTCATCCTTGTACCTACACCAATAAACTATGAACACCAGCATTGTTTGTTTGTGACGCGGCGTGTACGGCATTAACTTCATTTGATGCGTACACATTGCACAGACCTAATACTATACATCCCTCATAAATACCAATTTTACACTAATCTTGACTCACGTTTCTTCTCAGTACCGGTACAAAAATAAAAACAGTACAACACTATAACATGTTGCGGTATTAAGCATTCGTCGAATCGCAATATCGTGAAGTAATGCTAAGTAATCCGAGAGTTATTTTAAATTTAGAAGAAAATTAAAGTTTAAAATTTCAGAAACTACTTCGACTTAATTACCTATAATCGTAACTTTCATTCAAATGTGGTCTTTCTTTTTATTAATAGTTTTGGCTTGGATACAAGTCCTTTGAGCCATGTCTTCGTTTAATTATCGGGATATGGGATTCTCAGTAATATTTGGCATTGTAGTTCTAAATTTTAATACATTATGTTTTTTTCACTTTCTCTTAAATAACTTAGTTCACTTATTTGGGTTTATTAAATAGTCTTTTAAGCGAAGGGAGTCAATATTTATGTTTTACTTTCATTTAAATCACATTATCTTCTATTACTTTGAACAATAACTTTGAATTCGTAATTAGTGGAACTTTCAGAATAAAGTCTTTTGTAATTTGGTTTAAAATAAGGAATATAGTTCTTACTTTCTTCATCACTATTTCTTTCTTCGTTTTTTCTTCAAAATAATCTTTGTGAAAACTGTACTCGTAACTTGAAAAACCCGTAATTTTTTTTTGTATCTCAAATGTGGTCCTATCAAACGACGCGCGAGTTTTTTCTTTTTTTTTTTGATACTGTTTTTTCCATTCCTAAACCGTAAAAGGCAAAGGCACTTGTGTGCCATACAGCCTAGATCGACAGTAACTTCTTTTTTTAAATTTATTTTGCATTATGTTTTCAGCACCAGGTTCTTTACGTGTTTTACACATTTATTTGGGTAGGCAAAGGTTTCACCATTAGCCTATACGTGTGTAAAAATTTAGTACTGCAAGTACAAATTTTCATGTTTCAATTACAATTAATTCATAATATTTAATATATGGATGTACCAACAATAAACTGCAAATAACGACAACCTCTGTGGTCGAGTGGCTTGCACACCGGTAGTCATAATGTCGCCATCTCTGGGGTACCGGGTTCGATCCTCGGCCGGAGATCCGGCCCGGTAACTCAGTTGGTAGAGGAGTTGCCCTAGATTGGCAAAACAAACACGAATTCGAGTCCTGTCGGACCAAAGGAATTTTTCTTATGTACGATCTTTGTATTAATAATTAATAAATTTGTGGTTCATTATAACAAAACCATACTTACAAAAAATATTAGGGTTTTTTTTAAATTACAAATCACCTTAGTCATGTTCTCGTTGTACATATCACATTCTAAAGGTGAATTTACATTGATGTAAGTATGACCAATAAAGTGAATCACAGTTGTTACCATAAACTACAATGTTATTTGACTTGCATACAAATTAGGTTGTGGTTTTAACGTCTTGCATTTTTATTATGACGATTTCCATGTAACTATTATCTATATTAGGGCGCACGAAAGGAGCCTCCCCAGGCGACGTACTCCTTTCCTGTACGACCTTACGACGACTGGCAAACCCTTTCGCCACCATGGCGAGCATTTTAGTATATGCCATCGATACTATAAGCAGAAGTATTACTTCTGCTTATAATAATAACGCACACACTCAACTTAGTGTGAGAAGTGCGTCTATATTGAGTTACTAATTATTATTAAATTTCTTTTGTAATCCCAAATCGAAAGGACGTACAGGTCGTGCGCCTGATGGTAAGTCACATGCCTGCCCATAACAGTTGCAGTGCCACTCAGAGCTTTAAATCACAAAGACCTGAGGGACACAGCCACTGCGCCCGTCACTCTGAGACGTACGAGTAAGTTGACAAGTCCCATGTGCCTGTAATTTCACCAGCACCCTTACCCTTCAAAACCGGAACACAGTAATGCTGACATTACTGCTTGGCGGTAGAAATAGGTAATCTGGCAGTACTTCCCTGGACGAACTCTTTCACATGGAGCTGTACTGCTACTATAGGAGGTCCTTAGGAGTACTGCCACGTCGCCTGTTACCCTTATGGTGGCACTGCGTATGACTATTTATGTTTGCGTATTTGATATGTTTAGCAAACAATCACCATGTGTAGATAGCATCTGTGACAAAATATTTGTCTTGTTCGCATATTCGACAAACACAGCAAACACCAAACTCGAGTTACCGCTGTTCGATTTCTCGATGCATATCAAAGGAGCCAAATAGGCAAATATGCAAGTAAACCGTTCACGCTATGGTCATATTCATTGTTTCAACTCCTTATTTAGCTCCATGTGTAGACGGTCATATTTGTCAGTGCACGTTTGTCTGTACGTCAAACATTTTTTCCAAGTTGAAACGATTGTAAATCGCTAATGTGCCGTGACGGCAATAAAATAGGATACTTCGGTCCACAAAAATTTATTCCATAATTAAGTCAAAAGGAAAATACCCGAAAGGGCTAAGTTATTTAGTATTACAGATTGGTATTAAAATTGGTACATAATTTATGTTGAGAACTGGTAAAAAGATCAAAATTAGACGCAATTAAAAATTAGAGCTGTGCTGTCGCTACAACGATTGAGCAAGGAGTGACGACGGAACGAAAGAAAACGACAATAACGAGGCAAAGGAACTAAAGAACGATTCAAAATTTGAAAACAAGTGACCAGGAATCAGAAAAAAAGTGATAAAAAGGTGGGATGATGATGGAAGGAGGTCACATCGTCACAAAGTACATCAAACACCCAACGCGACGTAGCCATGTGAAATGCCGCCTCGAGACGCAAAATTGACAAGTCCTATGTTCTTGTAGTTTCATCGGCAACTTTACCCTCCAAAACCGGAACGCAGTCATTACTGCATTCCGGTGGCCATTGTCGCATTATTCCTTAGCCGTAAAAATGGGTATTTTCAATTGTGATTAAAACAATTGATGTATTTGATTATTTGAAGGCCACAAGTTCAAACAGTTAGCGCTACATTGTGTTATCGCCGACGTCAAAGAGAAAAGAGGAGGTTCTTCATTTGCGTAATTTTTTTTTGTAATCTTTTTTTTAATAATGGAACAAATTAAGTAAGGTTTCGGTGGTCCAATATCGGTTTAGTGGCAGTCTAATCATCGTCCACAAAAATGCAAAAAAACACACCCCTTTTGCTCTCAACACAACTTCACTGCTGGGCACAACTTCATTTAAACATACAAGGCACGATACTCTGTTGTCACGGCATAATGGGAACGCACTCTAATTGACATTTTTAAAAGAAAAAATAGTTTAGGTGTTCATATATCTAATGTTACCAAAATGCAAGTGCGTAATTATGACAAGGAAGGCAGCCTTAACGTCCCTCTGCTGGTCACGAGTTTCCTTTAATTCTTGTTAAAGTCTTGATGCGTGTTGGAAACTTCACACATATTTGACGAGTTTTGTTAACCTTGTTTGACATTGTAACATTTGCCATTAAAACAAGGGTTAACTAGTAAACTTAACTGGTATTTCACATAGAAACCTTTCACCTCTCGGGAATAGAACCAAGGGCCAACTACACAGGAGGCAAGCATTCTCGCTATTCATTGCCTTTAATTTTGATA